TGGAAGAGATCCCCCAAAACCCCAAAACCCCAAAACCCCAAAATCCCAAATCAAATTAATAGTTGAGAAATAAGAATTGAATAATAATACCGCGTTTAATCTAAGTGGGAATCAAAGAATGAGTTTATAATTTTAAACTTAGTCTAAACAAAACTTGCAAATAAGACGATGAGTGACAATTACACAACACAAAGTGGAAGAGAAATCAAGAAAATCGGCTAAAAATCAGGTGTTAAAAACGCTCTAGCTTAACTCAGAGCTGCTAGAGAGGGTGGAGATAAGAGAACTGATTAATATTAAGTAAGGAACTAAATTTAAAGCTTGCAGGAGATGCTAATCTTTTACTTAGGTCGAAGAGGCAAAGAGAATTTTCGAAGAGATAGATGCTGATGAATATGAAAGAATTTAAGATCAAAGGAAAAATGATGATTTCATTGTTGATGATGATGGCTTTGGCTACAGAGATCATGGAGGTGAAATCTGGGAAAGAGATGACAACGAAGAGGTTGGCGGTAAAAAGAAAAAGAGAAAGCTTGATGTAAGTATAAAACCAAGTCTTAGTCTATTTTATCATTTAAATTCTGCAATTTACTTACATTACTCTATAGCCAAATGAACAGCACATTACTAACTTTATGATGCCAGCTTCAACTATCAGAAAGAACAAAGGAACCGGCAATTCTAGCAATATATAGATAAAGCAAAAGCCTAAGGTTACAGCTGAGCAATCTATGGACATTATGAACAATTTGCTATAAGAACTAGATAATAAAGATGTCGATGAGTTGGAAGATGTAAACGCATCAGCAGTTATGGCTGAGCTTAACAAACCAATAGCCTTTAACAAGAATGAAGAACTTTTGAACAAATACGGAGTAACTTTAGAGTCTAAGCAAGAAATATAAGTGAAAAGACAACTTGAATAGCTACAGCATGAACAGACTATTGGCTAACACTAATAAAACGCGAATGTATTTTCAAAGAAAAGAAAGCTAGATGAAATTTAACAACCTTAAGTAAAAAAAGAGCATTAAGAACTAAATAAAAGTAGGTAGACTGAAACTATTATTCATCAATCAAGTAACACTAGCTATTTCGATGCTAAAAGTTAGCTATCTCATGACTAATCTATGGAATATCAATCAGCTGTTGATGATTCTAAGATGTCAGAAAGTAGCTCAGCATAGAAAAATGCAATGAATGAAGGTCCTATAGCATTCAGTAAAAATTAAACTAATATGTCTGCATCTAAGAATGATGAATGGGCTTAAATCAAACATCAGAACTAATAAGCTCATTAAGAGTTCAAAACTATGGAGTAAAAATCAGCTATGGATATTTAAGAATTCGCTCTCCCATTAAATCAAGATGGCTCATTATCATTCTACTGGATTGATGCACATGAGGAAAATAATGGTGCTGATTTATTCATATTCGGAAAAATCTATCAACCAGAGATCAATTAATACGTATCCTGCTCAATGAAAGTAAATGGAATGTAAAGAGAGATATATGCGCTTCCTAAAATGCAAAAGGGTAAAGCTAGAGGAACTTTGACAAGAGAAGAGGAAAATCAACTGGTTAGAGGTGTACAACTAGAACTAGAAGATATTAGAAAGAAAAGATTCTAGGGTATTACTAAATGGAGATGCAAGCCAGTTACTAGAAAATATGCATTCGAAATGCCTATTCAACATGGAGAGCATTTGTTCTTGAAAATCAAGTATGATGCAACATTTATCCCTCTACCAAGTACTGTTTAAGGAAATACATTTGAATGTTTATTCGGCTCCAACTAAAGCATGCTTGAACTCTTCATTCTTAAAAGGAAAATTAAAGGACCCTGCTGGATGACAATAAAAAATCCAAAGAAAGTTACTGACTTCAAGAAAACATGGTGTAGATAAGAGATTGAAATTGATAATCCTAAAAATGCAGAGGTTACTTTAGATGATCTTAACAAAACTGATATCCCACCACTAACCTCCTTAACATTCGCATTCAAGACTGCCAGATCTCAGAATAACACAAATGAGATTGCTATGATTTCTTGTTTGGTTCATAACAATGTTAATCAGGAAGGGCCATCTTAGACTGACAAATTTTAGACATTTACTTTGGTCAGGAAGCTCGATGGCAAACCAATGCCATTTGATTTTGACCAAAAGCTTAGATAGAAGAAAGAGAATATTTAATACTTCACTAACGAGAGATAAATGATAGACCTATTTGTAACTAGAATTTTCTAAATTGATCCAGATCTTATTGTGGCTCACAACCTATGTGGGGGAATATTCGATCTCTTACTTGCTAGAATTTAAATACTTAAAATTAACCACTGGAGCAGAATTGGTAGATTTAAGAAAGGAAACATTCCTACTAAGAAGTTTGATACTGGTGGTGCTAATTACGGAGGATCCTAATGGATTCCAAGATAAGTTACTTGTGGTAGATTGTTAGTTGATACTTTCCTCTCTGCCAAGGAGCTGATCAGAGAAACCAACTATGACCTTACTCATTTGACAAAAGTCTAGCTCAAGAAAGATAGATAAGATTTTGATGATGATTTGCTACCTCAGTTCTATTTAGCATCTGAACGCATATTCTAGCTCATCGAGCATTCTGAGAAAGATTCCTACTATACTTTTATGCTTATGCTTCATCTATCAATTATCCCCTTAACCAAACAACTAACTAACATTGCAGGTAACTTATGGTTCAGGTCTCTCTAAAACGCCAGAGCTGAAAGAAACGAGATGCTTTTGTTGCATGAATTCAAGAAGAAGAAATTCATTTTGCCAGATAAAAAGCCACCTAATGCTAAAGACCTTAGAAGAGGATTTATGGGAGATGAATATGAAGAGAACGATACCAAAGGAGGAGGGAAAAAGGGAGGTAAAAGAAAGAAGGCAAAGTATGCTGGAGGTCTCGTTATTGAACCAAAAGCAGGTTTCTATGACAACATTATCTTACTTCTGGATTTCAACAGTTTGTATCCCTCAATTATTCAAGAGTACAACCTCTGCTTTACTACAGTAAATAGAAGACCAACCAAGAACTACGATGGTAGTGAATTGAAAAATCAATTCAAATCTGCTGATAACGCTGAAGGAGATGAAGTCGAAGATGTTGATCTTCCAGATAAGAATGTAAACATCAAGGATGCAGTACTTCCAAATGTACTCAGAGATTTGGTTTAAAAGAGAAAAGCTGTCAAGGAAAAGATGAAGAATGAAAAGGATCAGGTGAAACTCTAACAACTTGAAATCAGATAGAAAGCTATTAAGCTGACTGCTAACAGTATGTATGGTTGCTTAGGTTTTAGTTCCTCCAGATTCCACGCTTCAGCTATTGCAGCTCTGATTACAAAAACAGGTAGAGAAACTCTTCTTAGAACAAAAGATATTGCTGAGAATAAGTTAGGCTTCAATGTAGTGTATGGTGATACTGATTCTATTATGATCAATACTGGTACTAATCAACTTCAGTAATCACTTGAGATGGGCAAAAAGCTTAAAGTTGAAGTTAACTGTCTCTATAAATGCCTTGAAATAGAAATAGATGGCGTTTTCAAGAGTTTACTTTTACTAAAGAAAAAGAAATATGCTGCTTTGAGGTATGAAGGTGTTGGCTCTAATGAAGTCAAAGTAATTCAAGAAATGAAAGGTCTTGATATGGTCAGAAGAGATTGGTGTCCTCTCTCAAAGTCTATTGGAAATTATGTTCTCAGCCAAATTTTATCTGGCAAACAAAGGGAAGATGTAGTATTCAACCTGAATGAATACCTATCTGATATTGGAGAGAAAATGAAGAGCAATAGAATCACTCTAGATCAATTCATCATAACAAAGCAACTTACTAGAGCCATTTCAGAGTATTCTGATATCAAAGGATAACCACATGTGGCAGTTGCTCAAAGACTTAAAAATTAAGGAAAGAGTGAGGCAGATCTTGTCAATAATTTCATCCCTTATGTTATTGGAGCTCAAGCATTTGATACAGCTAAGTCAAACCCTCAATTATCAGATAAGGCTTATCATCCAGATGAGCTCTTATCCTCCAAGGGTAAGATTACTCTTGATATTGATTGGTATATTACTACTCAGATTCTTCCTCCAATTACTAGACTTATTGAGCACATCGATGGTATTAATATCGAGTTCGTTGCTCAATGTCTTGGTGTTGACCCTAAGAAGTATAAATATCACTCTGAGAAAAAGAATACAGATGAAATAGGTGATGATGGTGGATCAATCTAGAATCCTATTCTTTAAACTGAAACTGAAAAAAGTCTAAAACACAGATCAATTGCTGAGCTTAAAGTGAAATGCCCATCTTGCACTCATAATTATGACTTTCCAGGTATTTACCAAGAAGGAAAAGATGTGTCTGGTTTAATATGCACTAAATGCAATGCTAAGATACCAGAAAAATATGTGATGAACAGAGTGAATCTATTTTTGAAGCAGCTATTAGCTCTATATTACTAAGGTAAATACGAGTGCTAAGAGCCCTCTTGCAAGAGTATGACTCGTTAACTCCTCTATCATAACAAATGTGTTAATCTAACTTGTAAGGGTAAGATGGTACCAGAATACTCAGAGCATCAAACAAACGACACACTCAGATATCTTCAAGGTCTCTTTAACATTAAAAAACACCTTCATGAAAACAGCAAAAATGATTCATTAAAGGTTGAAACCGACATCCCATTCTATAATGAATATAATGTTTTACAGACAAAAGTAGATGAACTAATGAATAGAAGTAAATATAACAAGGTTGACCTAGGAAGTATATTTGGCTTCATGAGGTAGAGCAATAATAAAATGGCTGTAAGTAGTACGGCAACTGCTTAATGAAAAGTTTTTCAGTCAAATTAAGTACTTATATTTATGTGTTGCGAAAAAGGAGTATTTTTTGGAAAGATATATGATTTATTAATAATAAAAGAGTAATTTAATCTTTGCTTGCAGGGTTTTAGCATTTTGGGGTTTTGGGGTTTTGGGGTTTTGGGG